GTTTAACCATGTCCTGGATGTACGAAGGGCCAGATCCATTCGCAGCATGGTAAGCAAGTACCAGTGTCTTGAAGTGGATTCTAGCAGTTACCGGAAGCCAGTGAAGCGAGCGTAGGAGCGGAGTAGTGTGGGAAAATTTTGGAAGGTTGAAGACCAGACGAGCCACTGCATTCTGGATGAGCTGCAGAGGTCGGATGGCACATGCAGGTAGACCAGCCAGGAGGGAGTTGCAGTAGTCTAGGCGTGAGATGACGAGAGCCTGGACCAGAACCTGAGTCGCTTTCTGTGTCAGCTGAGGACGTATCTTCCTGATGTTGTAAAGTGTGTATCTGCAGCAACGGGTTGTAGCAGCAATGTTTGCAGTGAAGGACAGGTTGTTATCTAGGGTCACACCCAGATTCCTTGCAGTCTGAGTCGGAGAAACAACTGACGTGCCGATGTTGATTGTTAGGTCAAGAGTGGGACAATCTTTTCCCGGAAGGAAGAGCAGCTCAGTCTTGTCAAGGTTGAGTTTGAGGTGATGAGCAGACATCCACTGAGAGATGTCAGCTAGACAAGCAGAGATGAGTGCGATGACCTGGGTCTCTGAGTGGGGAAAGGACAGAATTAATTGGGTGTCATCAGCGTAGCAGTGGTAAGAAAAACCATGCGGGCTAATGACTGATCCGAGCGAGTTTGTGTACAGGGAGAAGAGAAGGGGACCAAGAACAGAGCCCTGAGGGACCCCTGTAGTTAATTGACAAGGGTCGGACTCAGACCCTCTCCAAGTCACCCTGTAGGTACGGTCTTTGAGGTATGAGGTGAGGAGGGAAAGTGCAGAGCCTGAAACTCCAAGTTTTTGGAGAGTGCGAAGGAGGATCTGATGATTCACCGTGTCGAATGCAGCAGACAGGTCCAACAGGATGATGACAGAGGAGAGGGATGCAGTTTTGGCAGTGTGCAGTTCCTCCGTGACAGCAATGAGAGCAGTTTCTGTGGAGTGACCTGCCTTGAAACCAGACTGGTGCGGATCCAGAAGGTTGTTCTGATTGAGATAACAGGAGAGTTGTTTAAAGACAGCGCGTTCAAGTGATTTAGACAGGAACGGGAGGAGAGAGACAGGCCTGTAGTTTATAACATCAGACGGGTTGAGAGTGGGTTTCTTTAGGAGAGGGTTTACTCTTGCCTCCTTGAGACTGTTTGGAAAGTGACCAGAAGTTAGAGAAGTGTTGATGAAATGGGTGAGAAACGGTAGAATATCAGGAGCGATAGTCTGAAGGAGGTTTGAAGGGATAGGGTCCAGAGGACAGGTGGTAGGGCAGGCAGAGGTAATGAGGGTAAGAACCTCACTTGGAGAGAGAGGGGAAAAGGAGGTAAGTGTGTTGGTGGAAGGAGGGTCTGGTGACCCAGCGGTGAGTAAAGGTGAGTCAGAAAAAGAAGAGCGAATATCATCAACCTTTTTTTCAAAGTGGGTAACAAAGTCGCTTGACAGAAGTGAGGAGGGGGGAGGAGCTTTTGGAGGGTCCAAGAGGGTGGAGAAGATGGAAAATAGTTTTTTAGGATTGGAATAGGAAGATTGGATCTTATCTTGAAAGAAAGTGCTTTTTGCCTGAGAGATCGAAGCAGAGAAAGAGGAGAGGAGAGCTTGATAGGTTAGGAGGTCGTCACGGTGTTTGGATTTCCACCATTTCCGCTCTGCTGCCCTGAGGACGGTTCTATTAGCACGCAGTGCATCATTTAGCCAGGGAGCAGGAGGGGACTGACGAGCCTGCCGAGATGTGAGAGGACAGAGCGAGTCCAGAGTGGATGAGAGAGTAGAGAGGAGAGTTTCTGCAGCAGAGTTTGGAGGCAGGAGTTGGAACGAGTCAGAGGAAGGGAGGGCTGAGAGCACCGACGAGGCAAAGGTAGAGGGGGAGAGGGAGCGAAGGTTACGGCGGACAAGTGCAGGATGAGAAGAGATGACACAGACATACAGAAACTGTTAAGGGGCTTAGAAGAGGTGCAAAACAAACTTCAACACTGTGTCACCACACCTAGTTCAGATACAACGCAACCTCACTCTAGCCAACCCAGTAAGCAGCATACACCTAACTAATCACATACATTTACAGAAGGACTCTCTAATCCCACCCGAGAGAGCATGATTATTGGATGGAAGGGAGTTTAAGATTCATGGAGGGCAGATAACTGACACTTCATCAGACATTAGCTTTAACAGCTTATGTAAACAGATTGAGGAAGGCTGCAGAGAGCAACACACTGATGACGAGATCATTAGAGGGGTGTTACGCATAATAAAAGGTGGAAACTTTAAAGACATGCTGACAAACAAGGAAGATCTTACAGTCACCGAGCTGAAGAGTTTCCTGCAGTCCCACCTTGGCGAGAAGAGCAGCACAGAGCTCTTCCAGGAATTGATGTGTGCTAGACAGCATGAAAATGAAGCTCCACAGCAATTCCTATACCGCATGATAGGACTGAAACAAAAAATAATGTTCACCTCCAGGCAGGCAAATGCACTTATTAAGTATGATGCGTCTACACTGCAGGGTGTGTTTTTGAATGCAGTCTATCAAGGCATGGGAGAGAGACATGAGGATGTCAGACGGGAGCTGAAACCACTGCTTGCTGACCCCACTGTGTCTGATGAAGCTCTGTTAAGGCAGGTTATCAAGACTACGATGGAAGAAAGTGAAAGAAAGCGCAGACTGGGACGCAGTTCCAAGCACAAGTTAACTCAAGAACACAGCATACTCGCTGAACCTGAAGAGATACTCAGCAGTGTGGGAGAGACTAAAGTAAGGATAATGTCATCCAGAGATTGAGTGCTCAGGTTGAGGCTTTAACACAGGCAATGGAAACACTGAAACAGCTATCAGCAACAACCCAGGTGCCTGAGGGGCTACATCAAACCACCCACCAGTGTTGCTCTGACAAAACCAGACCAGAGAAGAAGACCAGGAGACCGTATGGGTGCCCACAATGCATAGCTCAGGCTCAACCAAACTGTAGCCACTGCTTTTTCTGTGGGGAGGAGGGTCATCGTGCTATAGGCTGCTTGAAAAGACAGAAGCAGGCGGGAAACGGGCACCGGTCAGGGCAACGGGACGACCACTGACCGACCCAAAGGAAAAGTCCCACCCCCAGGAGATTGCAGCAGCAAGACAAAGCACTGGTCATACACCTATCAACACGCAGAAAAATAACGAACAACACCCAATCAAAAAGATAGCTCCGCTAATTGGTCGAAAGTCGCTATTGAGATGTAGCATGAACGGTTACGCCATAACCGCTCTTTTAGACTCTGGGGCCAATGTGAGCATAATAGACAGTGCTTGGAAAGACTTACCTGGACAATATATTAGACCCCTCAGTGAACTCATGGAGGATGATCTCTACGTGACGGCTGTCACAGGAGATGCAGTACCTTATGAAGGATGGATTGAAGTGGTAGTAAACCTGCAGGAAAACGATGTTCCAGACTTACCTATTCGAGTGCCTTTCCTAGTGAGTCGAATAAAAATAGACAGACCGATAGTTGGTTTTAATGTCATCCAGGAACTCTTTAGGAGTCATGAAAGTAGACCCAAAGTGATATCTATCCTTGTCAACTTGCTTACGGGTGCTTTGGAGATTGACAGTGCAATGGCAGATGCTATGGTGAGTTTCATAAAGACTGAGCAAAAACAGGAACAACAGAATGCTGCAGTAAAGATAGGCAGGAAATAAGTCACTATTTATCCTGGCCAGGTAGCTTATATTAAGTGCAGGGTACCAGTAGATATTAGTGAATCTGATTCACTTGTGCTTTTCGAACCCAATCTAGAAGCTACACCACTGGCACAGCTGAGTGTTGGAGAAGGACTAATGGCGATCCAACAGACAGAGAGACCTTTCGTAAAGGTGCCTGTGTCAAACCATTCCAGAAGTGCTGTGACTCTGCCCAGCTGTACTGTTCTAGGCAACATCGAAACCATTGATAGAGTGATAGAGGCAGACAACCCAAGCAGCAAGGACAATCAAGCCCAGGCAAATATAGCCAGTTCTTCCACATCACCACACTCAAACCCACTTCTGCACTGTGGCACCCACCTGTGGATGTCAGCCACCTGAGTGATGAGCAACAGATGAAGGTGGAACAGATGTTACACAAGGAATCGGCAGCCTTTGCTAAAGATGATGGGGACATAGGTTGCATTCCCAACCTGCAAATGTCCATCAACTTAAAGGACAACATCCCAGTTCAGCGCACATACAGTGCAGTGCCCAAGCCCCTTTATAAAGAGGTTAAAGAGTACATCCAAGACCTGCTTGTAAAAGGGTGGATAGTTAAGTCCAAATCTCCGTACTCAGCTCCTGTTGTCTACGTCAGGAAAAAGGATGGGTCCCTAAGGTTATGCATCGATTATAGAATGTTAAACCAGAAAACAGTACCAGACCGTCACCCATTGCCTCGTATCCAGGAACTCATCGACACCAGGCTTGGAATTTCGTCATTTTAGGGGCAAGGCCATGTGGCCTTCCCATTCACATTTTTTTTAAGGGCACAAAGGCCACATGACAGGGCACAAAGGCCGTATGGTTAAATTACGCTGGTCAATCAACATGACTGAAAAGTGTAGCACTAACGTCAACACCAGTCGTTTTACAAATGGCTGATTAGCAATAGTGTTTCTTAAACGTATACGTTAAGTTCAGCCATAAACCACATAAGTCAGTCATGTATTATATCAAAACCGCTTAGCAAGAAAAATACTAGATTCAAAGGTGACAGCTATCTGCTAGCTTGTAGAAGCAACACTAGATGTAGACCCCTGAAGGGAAGACGTTAGCGCTATCCAAACTAGCTAGCTATCGCTAGTTTTCATGACAAAATGTAACGAGTCGACTTTAAATAGGCTAATACAATGGTAATTACCTATCAATAGTACTTTCTATAAACACGTAAATGTTAAGTCCTTTCAAATACTACCACATACTTCAGTTAAATCATATCAAAACAGCTTGGTCCGCTTACTTACCTGTGCTTGTCTTGCTCCCGCGGCTGAGGAGGAGGCTGTCGGGCCCCTACAGGCATGTCTTACGGAACAATCACAGCAGAGCAATCGCTCTGATCCACAGACTATCCTACTGCGCACACTAATATGACTTTACTAGCATTGTTTACACGGCATGTCTGACGGAACAATCACAGCAGAGCAATCGCTCTGATCCACAGACACGGGACTATCCAACTGCACGCACTAATATGACTTCACTAGCGTTGTTTACACTGGAACTTTTGACAGGGGCACAAAGGCTACTTTGGCCGTGAATTGCATTTTTTTTCACAGGGCATCACGGCCAAAGTGCGGGGCAACGACGGCCATGGCCGTCGTGGCCGTCGTGAAATTCCCACCCTGATCGACACCCTAAAAGGCCAAAGCTGGTTCAGCATTTTAGACCAAGGCAAGGCCTACCACCAAGGCTACATTGCTGAAGGATCCAGACACATGACGGTGTTCATCACCCCTTGGGGGCTGTATGAGTGGGTGAAGATACCTTTTGGACTCTCCAACGCCCCTGCTGCTTTTCAGCGCAGCATGGAGGAAATGTTGGACTCTCTGCGTGACAACTGCTGTATCCCTTACCTCGATGACATCCTCTGCTACTCCGACTCCTTCACTAGCCATATTGAGGGAGTACGTCAAGTCCTGAGAGCCTTGCAGTCCCATGGTGTCAAGCTTCGACCAACAAAGTGTGAGCTGTTCCAGAAAGAGGTCAGGTATGTTGGGAAGCTGGTCTCTGCAGACGGTGTCAGGATTGACCCAAAAGACATTGATGCCATCATGACCCTGAAAGAGAAGAGGCCAAGCACAGTTGGAGAAGTGCGGAAGTTACTGGGTTTCTGAAGCTACTATAGAGCCTATATTCAAAACGTCTCAAGCATTGCAAAACCAGTTTATGATCTGTTAAAAATTAAAGGAAACTCTACCGTGACACAGGGGAAACATAAGGTGGGAAAAGGAGCTCAGCTGCCCTCAAGGACACCTGTCCTGTGGACTGATGATCACCAAAGGATCCTTGAACAGCTGATTGACACGCTTTCACACCCACCTGTGTTGGCCTATCCGGATTTCGAACTGCAGGTTTGATGTCAGATACAGGCCAGGAAGAGTGAACTTAGACTAGGGCTGAACGATTAATCGATTTTAAATCGAAATCGCGATTTGAAATGATGCGATTATCAAATCGCAGAGCCTGCAATATTTTTTAACTTTTTTTTTAACAATTTTTCTTTTTTTTTTATTGTGTGTCAGTCATCCACACCAATCAGAAGTGCTGTGCTCCACATGTACCAGCCATTGTTAATCAATCAGAAGTAGCCCATGATAGAAGGTGATAGACAGATTGATCCAATCACCTGCCAAGTGCTTCTGAAAGTGCCTGCCCTTTCCAAATGGCTTCCAATGGAGCTTTAGATGGTTTGGTGAAACCAACCATCTGAGTCAGGTTAGTAATGCTCCATCACATGTTTCTATTACAGGGTGAATCTCAAACTGAAGCTTGACTTTAAAGCAACCCAACGGAAGTTTCATGTAAGTTTAGTTCTTTCACTCGTAGCTCGGGCTGCGGGGTGCTAGAGACGGGAGCACGTTGATACGACCTTCCTAGCCGGAGTTATGGCCGCATTTTACAATAAACTTCCGTTGGGTAGCTTAAAAACAAATATCGCAATTCGAATCGCAATCAGAATTTGTCAGAAAAATCGCAATTAGATTTTTTTCCCAAAATCGTGCAGCCCTAACATAGACGCAGACACGCTCTCTCGTCTCCCTCTTGACATTGACACCTACATCAGAGTGTACTGAGGAACTCACAAGAGAAACCATCCAAACCACATGGGATGGTTGTGAGTCTGCAAAGAGGCAGGATGTTGCTTATGTTGCTGCATTGGACCTGGCTTCATGCTCAGAGTCACCTGTGAATGTGTCAGCCCTTACCATTGACCATAGTGAGCTAGTCAATGCCCAAAGGGAGGACCATGCAATCGGTGAGCTTATCAAACTTAAAGATGCCAAGGCAGTATTGACCAATGAGGACAGGAAGAGAGCCAGTGGTACACTCAGAAAGCTCATGCACGAGTGGGGAAAACTGCACATGGAAAATCAACTGTTGTACCGGACGGCCAGTCAGCGGCAGCAGCTCGTCTTACCATCACGATACCACCCCCTGGTACTAAAGCATCTCCATGACGACATGGGACATGTTGGGGCTGAGAGGGTCATCCACCTGGCTCGAGACCGTTTCTACTGGCCTTTCATGAAAAAGGACATTGAAACCTATGTAACCAGAAAGTGTCCCTGTATCAAACAAAAGAAACCTGTGACACACGTCAGAGCACCAATGGGCAGCATCACTTCATCTGCACCACTTGAGCTTGTGTCTATAGACTATATGCACCTGGAAACTAGCAAAGGGGGCTACGAGTACATTTTAGTAGTTATTGACCATTTTACCAGATTTGCTCAAGTCTACGCAACAAAAAATAAATCTGGCAGAACAGCTGCTGAAAAAATATATAATGACTTTATTCCAAGATTTGGCTGCCAGGTTACACCATGACCAAGGCAGAGAGTTCGAAAATGACCTGTTCAAGACCCTGAGGCATCTGGCTGGAGTTGCTCATTCGAGGACCACCCCCAAGGAAACCCAGCTGAGAGGTTCAATAGAACACTGCTCCAAATGTTAAGGACCCTGGGAGAAAAAGAAAAGAGCAACTGGAAAGACCACTTATGCCTGGTTGTACATGCATACAACTGCACCAGGCATTCCCCACTACCTCATGTTTGGACGGCACCCGTGTCTCCCAGTAGATTTAATGTTTGGCCTGTCAGCCAAAGGTCAGACTGAAACAACACAGGGCTATGCTAAGAAATGGGCTCTGAGAATGAAAGAGGCTTACCGGATTACATCTGAAAACAGTCAACACTCCAGTGCAAGAAACAAGAACTACTATGACTGTCACATCAAGGGAGTTGTTCTCCAACCTGGTGATAGAGTCCTAGTCCGCAACATGAGTGAGAGAGGTGGACGTGGAAAATTGAGGTCCTACTGGGAACAAACTGTGTATGTCGTCAAAGAACAAGTTGGTGAAATTCCTGTGTACAAAGTGTGCCCTGAGACAGGTGGTGATAAGATCCGTACCCTCCATCGAAATCTCCTACAAACTTGCCTGAACTAACAGGAAATCCGCTACCACCTAGAGGGAAGAGCAAGAGTCATCATGTTGAGAAACAACAACAGAGAGAGACATCACAAAGCAGTGACTCAGAAAACTCTGATGATGAGGCACCTAGAGTACGATACTGGCTAAGAGTACCTCCACAAGCTGGACTTCACTCACAGAATGTTGAACCTAGCTCTGGATCTCAGCGAAACACAGACGGTCCGAAAAGGGTACCTGAACCACATAGATATAGAGTGCCATCGAGATATCATACACCAGAACAACATGGAGTTGTTACACCTGAGAGAGAAAGCAGACAAGAACAACCAGAAGAACGGACTGATGAGGAAGACCTGCCTGTGGATTCTGAAGCACCGGAAGAGCATGAGTATGTATAAGTACCCTATGGCTATGACCGACCTGTGACACCTCAGGATGAGCCAGTGAGGAAATCCACACGGGACAGGAGACCTCCTCAAACGCTGACATATGACTCCCTTGGTCAGCCATCCTCCAGATCATGTGGATCTACAGACCCAGCGGGACTCTATACTGTACAAGCCCTGCCATTCTGGGGAATGCAGCCCGTTCCTATGCCACATTACACTACACACCAGACACTGCCTTACACTGTAATGCTACCATACATACATGCATATTGAGAAGGAAAGATTGTTACACCCACTCTCATACATATTGTATTCACCTGTACATTTAAAGAAGTGCCCTTGTGAGAGTGTTTTAAGTTCAAAGAGAAGGGGCGCAAGTTAAGAGGTTGATGGTTAATGTCGGGAGCCATTTTTCTTTGTCGGGGAGTGTGTGATCACAATTTTATGTTTATATTTAATATCATTTTAGAAACCTGTTTAACAATGGACAGCAGAGGGCAGTAGATGGCAGGGTAACACTGCCGTAAAGGGGTTTGTTGTGATTTGCGCCTGCCGTAAATGGACTGATGTGGAGACGGAGCTGCCGTTGGCTTGCCATTCTGGCAAGACCCGCCAAACGAGCAGCTAAGAATTTGGTTGTTCATCATTTCTCCTGTTTTGCAGGTCAGTTTTGTGTACATATTGTCACAAGTGTTATAAGAATCCACGGTAGTGTTGTGTCACGATGTCCTAGTGTTTGAAGTGGTGTTTGGACGTTATTTATTGTCTTCAATGCTGCGTAGGAGACTGCCTCGTGGTTGCTGTGTGCGCGTGTGTGTAATGGCGGTCGCTATTTTAATGTAGCATAACTGAGCTTTGATCAAAGTGAATGCAAGTAAATGTAATTGTTTACAGCTCCTATACATTTTGTACTTACATATTTTCCGGGTTTATATCCTAAGTATTTTGTGTGTGTGTTTTGTATTATCTGTATGTGTTCTATGGTCAGAGTTAATACATATAGTGGGGCAAAAAAGTATTTAGTCAGCCACCAATTGTGCAAGTTCTCCCACTTAAAAAGATGAGAGAGGCCTGTAATTTTCATCCTAGGTACACTTCAACTATGAGAGACAGAATGGGGGGGAAGAATCCAGGAAATCACATTGTAGGATTTTTTATGAATTAATTGGTCAATTCCTCGGTAAAATAAGTATTTGGTCACCTACAAACAAACAAGATTTCTGGCTCTCACAGACCTGTAACTTCTTCTTTAAGAGCCTCCTCTGTCCTCCACTCGTTAACTGTATTAATGGCACCTGTTTGAACTCGTTATCAGTATAAAAGACACCTGTCCACAACCTCAAACAGTCACACTCCAAACTCCACTATGACCAAGACCAAAGAGCTGTCAAAGGACACCAGAAACAAAATTGTAGACCTGCACCAGGCTGGGAAGACTGAATCTACAATAGGTAAGCAGCTTTGTGTGAAGAAATCAACTGTGGGAGCAATTATTAGAAAATGGAAGACATACAAGACCACTGATAATCGCCCTTGATCTGGGGCTCCACGCAAGATCTCACCCTGTGGGGTCAAAATGATCACAAGAACGGTGAGCAAAAATCCAAGAACCACACGGGGGGACCTAGTCAATGACCTGCAGAGAGCTGGGACCAAAGTAACAAAGGCTACCATCAGTAACACACTACGCCGCCAGGGACTCAAATCCTGCAGTGCCAGACGTGTCCCCCTGCTTAAGCCAGTACATGTCCAGGCCCGTCTGAAGTTTGCTAGAGAGCATTTAGATGATCCAGAAGAGGAATGGGAGAATGTCATATGGTCAGATGAAACCAAAATAGAACTTTTTGGTAAAAACTCAACTAGACGTGTTTGGAGGAGAAAGAATGCTGAGTTGCATCCAAAGAACACCATACCTACTGTGAAACATGGGGGTGGAAACATCATGCTTTGGGGCTGTTTTTCTGTAAAGGGACCAGGACGACTGATCCGTGTAAAAGGAAAGAATGAATGGGGCCATGTATCGTGAGATTTTGAGTGACAACCTCCTTCCATCAGCAAGGGCATTGAAGATGAAACGTGGCTGGGTCTTTCAGCATGACAATGATCCCAAACACACCGCCCGTGCAACGAAGGAGTGGCTTCGTAAGAAGCATTTCAAGGTCCTGGAGTGGCCTAGCCAGTCTCCAGATCTCAACCCCATAGAAAATCTTTGGAGGGAGTTGAAAGTCCGTGTTGCCCAGTAGTGCTGTAGCGACGCGTCGACTTCAAAATATCGTCGACGACATATTTCCGCGTCGACGCGTCGCTACACACACGTGGGTCACCCAAAGCAACAAGCAGTTCGCAATCGCACTTCAAACACAATGGAGACTGAAACGGCTACCACCTCCTCCTCACAGGATTGCGCACGAAGCCCCCAAACGAAAACATCTCGCCCTAGGTCTTCAAAAGCATGGGAATATTTTAAAGTTAGTCCAAAACGCAAAGATATTTATATGTATATCTCACTGAGACTGCTGCATAGCCTAGCAGAAGCAGCAGCTAGCTGTGGTGGCTACCATTAGTAGCTAGCATTTGCTCTCCGATTTTTACATAAAAATGGAACTATGGATTATAAATTCAATCATTTTTTTATACATAGACGTTAA